GCACTTTAAACTATGTCCAATAATTAAATATTTTTGGTGTCTGGATGGATTACTTTGTTAAAAATAACTTTAAAAATCTATGTTTCATGCTGCATAAGGATAAAATTTGTTTTCAATTTCAGATATGGTATTACTAGATGGTCACACAACAGACTATTTGTTTCTTGGAAATTTCATTTATACAGTAAGTTTATCCTTATACTTTTCATAGTTTTGAATAAAAACTAACTATCCATGAGTTTTAAAATACTTCACATGCTTCAATATCTTTTCAAGGAATTATTATAAATGGCTATATTTTTCTAGATATGTGAAAAAACATTTATGTAAATGTATACCCCCCTAATTTTGTGGCAAGAGATGCTATTCTATATCTCGCTTGTATATTACACAACATGCCTCAGTGATAGTTTTTGAATCACCCCACAAACCTATCCCACATTCTTTTGAGGCTATTTATATGAACAACTAACTCATTATTTATTTCACCAGTATTCTTTAGTGGACATTATGATTGTTTTGGACATTTGCCATTACAAAAATTGCTGCAAGGCTATACTTTATGCCCGAAGCAAATATATATGTAGGATACATTTCTAAAAGTATAAATGCTAATCAAAGGCTACTGTGAATTTTGAAAAACATTACCAAATTATCCCTCAAAGAGGTTGTACAAATTTAGTGATAATATCAGTTCCCCGTGCCATTCTGGGTAATGGTTTTCTGACACCTTTTGATCTAGTAGGTGAAATGATATCCAATTGAAGTTTTTGCTTTGAGTGTAAGCATGTTTGCATGAATATGTACTTCTATTTCTTTTTCTGTGTAGTACTTATTAATTTACTTTACCAAATTATTCTGTTGGGTTGTTGGTCACATTAATTATTAGCAATATATGTTGAGTATGTTATATCTTCTCATATATTAGAAAATAAATTTCCGGTACTCACTTTCACATTTAATGGTGTTTTTGTCATGAATAGTTGTGTATATCATTTTTTGTAGTTAAATGCATCAGTATTTTCCTTTATGGCTTCTAATTTGTGTCTGCCTCTGTTTGGTAGTTTCTTACTGATAATTCTAAATATTGTAGATATGTATTCAACAGTGTGTTATCCCTTTTGTAAGCAAGTAAAAACTATTCCTCTGCATCCTTTTCCCAGTTAACAAATACATGCATACCTTGGAGATATTACATGTTCAGTTTCATGGTACTGCAACAGAGCAAGTCACAAATCTTTTGGCTTCCTAGGGCAGGTATAAGTAATGCCTACATTATACTTTATTCTATTAATTGAAAACTTATCTATTATGTCTAAAAATCAATGTGCATGCCTTAATTAAATACGACATAGAGACAAGAAATGAACACATAGAAAATGGTGCAACTAGAGTTGGCTTGACACAGAGATGCCACATACTTTTATAGAAACTATATCTGTGATACACAGTAAGTTGAAGCACAATAAAATGAGGTATGCATATATCTTAGAATAACAAGCTCATTAACCATTTTTGTATGACTTCCATTTAAGAAACAGTTTGTTGGCATATTGCCTCCTTTTACTTTAGCTGGTTGTCTATTAATTCAGGTTACTAGTTGTGATTTTAACTCTAATTACATATTTCTGACCATCAAGTGTTGGTTGATAGTACTTTTTTATTTGGACATATGCATAGTGCAATTTTTCTCATTTCAAATCTCCTACTTCTTCAGGCCTTACCCTTTTCCAGCTCCAAGAAAATGACTAAATAAATCAGATAGGGTTTTGTTTTATTCATTCATTAATATGAATAAAACACTGTGTTAAAAGCTGTACACAGTGTGCTTGTTAGCTATGTTTTTATACATGTGGTATGTATGTATGTATGTATCTCCAACCAAATCCTCATGAAAATTACATTTAGAGACACAAAGAAACTACATATACACACATATAAGAGATTCCTAATTAAGATGCCAGAGTACAGTGATTACATGGAGTCTTAATCTCTCAAAGCTAAATACAACACACACAAACAAAGAAGAAAAATAGTAAAACCAAGAGCAAAAGATTACAACAAAGTAATTCACCATAGCAAATAAACAAGGAAAGGGGACTGAATCCAATGTTACAAACATCAAAATGTGATGCTATCAGAGAAATATAAGGAGAATTATTAGGCTCAGCATGATGAGGTCATTAACCTAATTTTCCTGAACGCTATTCCCAATGTTAGTGAATTGGAGTAAAATGCTAAGTCCAAATATAGAACCCTGGGGAATTCACTGACAGTAAGGTGAAGACAATCCTGGTGCTTTCAGGGAGTGTAAAGATCCAGTGGAATCTGATTCAGCGCACAGTGCAAACTGTGTTAGGAAAGGGAGGTGCAGTGTATTGGCAAAGGTAAACTTGGAGCAGTAGATAGGGAACTTTTCTACTGGTGCCTTGGAACCTTTGAGGCACCACCCCTATCTACCCCTATCTATTGAGGCACCACCCCTATCTATGGGGATTTACTAGAATGCTGATGAGAAATGGATATGATCAAAGACAACTTCAAATGCAGGATTTAAAGCACTCAGTGCATCACTCTGTTGCTCTATAAGAACACATCCTGCAACAAAATCATACTTAATTAAGCACTGAAAGTTTTTTCCTTGAGGTTCAGAATAAGACTAAGATGTCAGTATTGCCACTTCTCTTAAACATTGTAATGGAGTTATTAAGTCAATACAAAAAGAAAATGAAGCAAGAAGCCTAAGCTTTGGAAAGGGACAAAATCTGTTTTTAAATCATAGATGACGAGTATGAAGATAGAAACAAAATAAAATCTACAGATAAAATATTACAATCAATAAAAAGAGATTGGCTGTTGGTGGGATACTGATCAATATTTAAGAATCAATTAAATTTTAGTGTACCACCAACACATATTTGTAAAGTTAAAAAAATAAATACTATTTAAAAATACTATCAAACATATGGGAAACATAAGAACAAATCTAATACATGATATTCAAGATCTCTAAGGAAAATTGTAAAACATTACTGGAGACATTAAGAACATCTATATGAAGAAATATACAAGAACATTAGCTAGAAGACTCAATACTTCAAAGAAGTCAGATCACTTCAGATGGATTTATTGTAATCACAATTAAAAGCCCTAGAGACTTGATGTGTCATTTCTAAAATATGAATATAGGAATGCGAAGGGGCATAAATAGCCAAGATACTCTTCAGCTATTTCAATCTACTCTGCTCAACTGTTTTTTTTTTAATCAGTCACTTAGATTATTAATAAGAATCAAATCTTCCATACTATTTTAAAAAATGTAAATATAAGTGCTTAAAAGCATGGATTCATCATGTTAATGAACTTCTAAACCCAGAACATCTTTTGAAAAACTTCATTCCCCCTACAACTAAAATTTAGCAACCAAATGACAAGAGAGTTCACCAGACATGGGAGTGTATGTGTGTCAGGGGAGGGGGGGAGAGAAGGGGTCAAGAAGGTGGGGTTTGGATTCTAATTTTTTATCATTTTTCCAATCTCTTTCCCCTTTGCTCTCTTACCTCACACAGTATGTGATAGTTACTGTTTGTCTGAAAGCTGGTTTGGAGACAATGTCTTGGAATAAAGTGAGTATTCGTTAGGATATTTAGATATTTCCTCAATCCAGATAGTTGCTTCATGCTAACTTTTTAAATGAATGTTTATATTTAGTTGTAAAATACAGAGAACTATTAATATCAATAATTTAAGGTGGATAATTATATTGCTCAGGGCTTCTATATTCTTAATGATAGTTAATTGTAACATTTTTTTTATTGAGGTTGCATTGGTTTGTAATACTGTATATGATTCAGAGGTATAGGATTACAGCATTTATATTTATAATCATACCACACCTATCACCCCAGCACTCATAGTCCCCCACTATCATAGCTCACTCCCCACTTTGTTCTCTTCCCTCCCTCTCCTTTTCTGGTAGTCACAATTCTACAGTCAGATGGTTTATTTTTGGCTTGGTTTTATCTGACCCTTTATTTTTCACATATACATGAAATGCAATGAGAGGCATTTTGTATGGCTTAAAGGTGGGTGCCTGTTGAGTCCATTTTCTTAGGACAGTAGCAAGCTACTGTAACTGTTAGGGGGAAAGGATGTCCTGAGCATACTCCATATAGGCTTTGTGGATGCCACCCCCACTCCATCAAGACCCTGGGAACTACAAATCCCATGATCCCCAAAGGGAAGTTGCAAAGACCTAAGGGCAGAGTTAAGCAGCCATTTTATCTGTTTGTAAATAAAACCAGCCTTGTTAGTGGGGTCTGGGGCACTTGGCTCGTGCTCTTGGCCAGGCAGGTTTGGTCTTGGCGGGATTCCATTTGGGATTCCAGGTCGGCAGAATGGGTAGGACGCATTTAAGAATTTATCTCCCTCTTTTCTACCTGAGCTGTACATTTCCTCATTTCCCTTTCCTTTGTAAATAAACCTTTGTTAACCTTTTGTGTGTGCCTGCAGTGTAAGTCCCTTTTAAGTGCACAGGTGAGGACCCACAGTCAGGCAACCCATTTTATATCAGGGTTGCCCTGTAACATAACTGCTTTGAGAAATATTTTACAGCTAATGTATTAAGGTTGACTACAGGGGAAAAATTACATGAAAATGCACTGCAGTGTTAGAAAAGTTGAAAGTTTTGAACTGGTTCTCTTCTCCATCATCTGTTGATCACAAGAGAAAGCCTTGAGGAGACTGGTTCCTTTTAATCAGAGGAATCATTAAAGATGTTATTTTTTTTAAGAGAGTGAAAAAATTACTTTTCATTAAAAAACTCTGAGAAATAGCAGATTGTGGTTTTCTCTGTTTTTGTTGTTCAGATATGATTAGTAATGAGCTGTACCTAGTAAGGTGAGCACACTTGAAACCTTAAGAAGTAATGTCTTCTAGCTAAATATGATAAAATGATCAATCTGAGACCTGTGGGCATGCAGTGCACCCAGAGAGCCAAGTTTAGAACCTAAGTCTCCTAGTCATTTTCCTTACCATTCCTTTGCTAACACAAACTGTACAAATAACAGATCAGATCAACAGGAGGATTTGTCTCCTTAACATTTAGCATTAAAGAGTTTGGTACAAGTTCCTAAACTAGACCTGCACAGCGATGCTCCAGCCAACAGCTCAACCAGAATGACATACATAGTTGATAGAAACAGAAAGTCTTCCTGGTTTGGTCTAGAAATCCAACTTATGCGAGTGTCCCAGAATTCACACAGAACATGTATAAGTTCAAATTTATATCCTTCTTAATGATTTCTGTTCAAAGATTTTTTTTCTTTAAAAGAACCTGAAATTGAATAAATCTATCAAGAAATTGAAAGATTACCAATAATTTTCTATGGTGTCCTGGACATCATATATTTTGTTAGTTGACTGTTATATTTTAACAGAAAGATTGAAGTGTTTCTATGATATTTTTCTTTTTGCAGTTTAGTCATATAGCAATTTGGGGAAGCATAATAATATGGCTGGCATTTTTTGCAATTTACTGTTTCATTTGGCCCACCATTCCTCTTGCTTCCGATATGACAGGACAGGTTAGTTTACTGTCATTGGTAAGTGTACTCTACTTTCTCATGAAAATTTATGTTCATTTACAACAACAAAAAACTGATGCTACCTATTTTCAAAATAATTTGAAAAAAAAAATAAATGCAGTTAGAAATAGTTGGTTATTCAGTGAAATTCTCATTGATATTTTAGTTGTATTATTCATCTAAAATTTCATTACTTCAAACTGCATTAACCACCCTTTCAAAAACTTAAAATTATCTAAAATAGCTAATTTTATTTTTTTATGTATTGTGCTATATGATTGAATTTTATTTGTATTTGATAATGCATGCATGATAAGTAAGACTTTTCATTAACTAAGTCTAAATAGAATAGGTAGTTCTCAGAGCATCCAAAGTTTTAGCTTCAAAATATTTTAAAATACATGGAAGCCATTGTTTCAGTTATGTTAAACCACAGAGAATATATCTTTTTTAGATTTTTATACTTAATATTTCCAAATTCTACTTTTTCTATATCTATTGTAGGTAATAGACCCATACTGCTTACAAAATGGCTCACTGATTTATATTATTTTAGGAGCTGTGGTAGGCTTGGTCCAAATGCCTAATGCCCAAATGCCTTGTTACCAAATGAAGAAATGTAAGTCTAGAGTAGCTCAGTTCAATCCTGTGGTCTGTTCACAAGACACCATTTACACTCATCATCTCTTTGTAGAAGCGGGGGATTATCCGTGCACCTTCAGGCCTGGGGCAGCTGAAAGTCCCAGAAATAAGAATTGTGAAAGACTTATTATTTCAGCCACAACTGAATGGCTGGTATTAGAATAGCCAAGAAAAAAACCCAACTATTAAAAACTGAACAAAATGTGAGTAAATAATTGTTTGAAGCCATTGACTAGAAATCAAGAGCAGGTATGATTCGTTAAAGAAAGGAAGTCCTTTTCCCTCCTTGTTTATCAAAACTCCTTCCCCAGGGTATCTGTTTGTAGTGCAAGGGAAGGAGTCCAAAAGTGATTGTACTGAGAGGAGGAAGTGGAATTCAGAGTCCCAGGCTGCTGAAATGCCTGAACTTGTGGGACAGAATCCTTGAAAGAGGCAAGAGGCAGAAGACCTTGCCAAATACCTTGATGGGGTCAGATTTGGTTTGAAGCTTTGTTTTGCCCTTAATAACAATTGTGGAGCTTATTCCCAAGGTGTGGTATTTTCTTCTAATTTGAAGCATTTACTTCCAAGGCATAATTTTTCTGAGAATACACTGAATATTTACCAAGGCCTCTAACTTGGTAAGACTTAAATGCCAGCCTCTGTCTCCCCAACATTGAGTGGGTACTAAGTTTCTGCTTGATTCTTCAGCCCACCGTTTGTCTTCTTCTAGGTCTCAAAACTATCATCTCATACACGCACTGTTTTAAGAGTGAGCCCTGGAGTTGAGATAAACTGGCACACTATAAAACAATATATTTGCCAAAGGAAAAAAATCAAAGAGGAAACTGGATAACATTATGAACAATATGAATTCAATGAAAGCAACATATTAAATTGTTCACATTAAATATGTATGGAATATTGTATAATTATGCCTTGATAAGATGTTAACATAATGACATTTTAAAATAAGTTTTAATTCATAAACATGGTGAACTAGGAATTATATTAAGGGAATAGTAATGAATTGATTTGTCCCTTATTATAGGAAAGATGATGTCATAAATGTCAAAATCAGAATAATTTTTATCAATGTTTTAAGCATAAGTTGAGTTTCAAAGTGAAGGTGATGTACACACTTTTATAGCTTGAATAAATATCATGTGTCATTCATTTTCTCCCTCCCCTTTGATTACAACAGAATAGCAAACGAATAACAGAATAAACAAATGAAAAAGCAGTACACCCAAGGTATACACCCATGTGTGCACCAAAAGTTAGTGAACTGGGCATGGAGGAGGCAGCAGAGTGAGTGAGGGTTCTGGAAGAGGCACTGAAGGCAGAGAAGGTGGTGGCTGATCCGGAATCAAATCGGCACACCGTTTTTTGGAGAGGAGGTGATGGTAAATGATAATGAGTGGGTGATTTGCTCAACCACACCTGCTACAGCTGAGGGACCAGTTGCTCTCAAAATGGATAAGGACTTGACTGTAAGATCCGAAACAATAAATACAATTAAGAGAACACAGGCAATAATTTCAGTGACATTAGGTATAGAGACTCCTTTGAGTATTTAACTCTAATGGCAAAGGAGGTAAAACAAAAATAGGACTATGTTGTTTAATTGCTATTTTTTCCAGTTTTTCTCCTGTTATTATTTCTATTTTAACACCACTGAGTCTGGAAAAAAATAATTGATAAGATTTCAATTTTCTTAAGTTTGTTAAGGTTTGCTTTTATCCCAACACATGAACTATCTTATAGAATGTTCTGTATGCACTTAAGAAGAATGTGTTTTCTGGTGTTGTTAGCTGGAATGTTCGTATGTCTGTAAGGTTCATTTGGACTTTCGTGTGATTCATATTAGTTACATCCTTATTGATTTTCTCTCTGAATGAAAGTGGAGTATTGAAGTCACTTATTATTGTAATGTTGCTTATTTCTCCCTTCAGTCTTGCTAATATTTGGTTTAAATTTTCAGTGCTCCAAAGTTAGGTGCAAATAAATTAATAAATTTTATATCCTCTTGATGAATTGATCCTTTAATATATATGGTGACCTTCTTTGTCTCTTGTGAGCAATTTTAACTAATTTTGACTAATGTTTATTTTTATTTTTTTTAATAATAAATTTTATTTTTATATTCCCCATACAATTGCAGCCCCCCCCATTCTGACCCCAATTCCTCCCCTCCCACCCCCGCCCCCTAAAAGTGTCTCTGGTTCGTAGTTTTTTGTTGATTTTGATTTTCACTTTCTTATAGTTATTCGTTTTCCTGGTCCCTTATTTAAGTTTTCTAGATTCCTGCTATGAGTGAGACCATCCGGTATTTTTCTTTTTCTTTTTGGCTTATTTCGCTGAGCATGATCCCTTCCAGTGCCATCCATGTTGCTGCAAATTGCATGTGTTTATCTTTTTTGAATGCTGAGTAATATTCCATGGTATATATGTACCACATCTTCTTGATCCAGTCATCTATTTTTGGGCATTTGGGTTGTTTCCAAAGCTTAGCTATTGTAAACAGTGCTGCTATAAACATAGGGGTGCAGGTGTTCTTTGGAATTGATGTTTCTGTGTCCTTTGGGTAAATACCTAGGAGTGGAATTGCTGGATCATATGGAAGCTCTGTGTTTAGTAGGTCCAGAAATCTCCACACAGCTCTCCACAGTGGTTGGACCAGTTTGCACTCCCACCAACAGTGCAGAAGAGTTCCTTTTTCTCCACACCCTCGCCAACATTTGTTGTTGCTAGTTTTTTTAATATGTGCCATTCTCACTGGTGTAAGATGGTATCTCATGGTAGTTTTGATTTGCATTTCCCTGATGACAAGTGATGTTGAACATTTTTTCATATGCCTGTTGGCCATTTGCATTTCCTCTTCAGAGAAGTTTCTTTTTAGGTCTTCTGCCCATTTTTTGACTGGATTCTTTTCTTTGTTGTTGTTAAGTCTCATCAGCTCTTTGCAGATTTTTGTGATCAGTCCTTTATCATTAGTGTTGGGTGCAAAAATGTTCTCCCAGTTGGTGGGGTTTCTCTTTGTTTTTGTTATTGTCTCTTTTGCTGTGCAGAAGCTCTTTAATTTGATGTAGTCCCAGCTGTTTATCTTCGCCTTCACTATCACTGCTTTGGGTGATGTGTCTGTAAAGATTTGACTAATGTTTATTTTATCTGATATAAGTATTGCCACTTGTGCTCCCTTTTGGTTCTCATTTGCATATAAATCTTTTTTTCATCTCATCATTTTCAGTCTATGTGTACCCTTAAAGGCAAAATATGTTCTGTATAGATAGTACATTGTTGGATCTTTTTTAAAATCCATTCAGCCACTCTCTGTCTTTTGATTGGAGAATTTAATCCCCTTTATTTAAAATAATTATTGATTAGATATAGACTTGCTGCTGCCATGCAGGATCATATGGAGAAGATACAGGGTGAAGGAGGCAGATGACAGGAGCAGGGAGATCATTTAGTTCACGTCTTTAATGGGCTTGAGTCAAGACTAGAATTGATTATTTTGAATATTTTTATGCTGGGATAAAACATACTTGATCAAAACATTCTTTGGTTGTTTGTAGGTAATACTATCAAATTTAATTAGCTAATACTATATTTAAGGTTCATGCACTTATGTTAATTTAGTAGTTCTAAATTCCTATAGCTATATATTCATACTTTTTTGACATCTCCAAGATTTTGTGGATGGCAAGGTAAAAAAAAAAAAATTTTGTACTCTATCAACAAATTGATTCTATTTAAATATTCTTTCTTTATGTTTATATGCAGGTCACTATGGTGATGGCTTGTCCACACTTCTGGCTGGGTTTTTTCATAGTCCCTACTGCATGCCTAATTCAAAATGTATTATTGAAAACGTAAGTGAAAAATGAAGTGGTAACCATAATATATACTGTCATGGTTAATTACTCTTCCAATTATATGTCTCAAATTAAACTAAGTGCTGCTTTATGAATATTAAAAGTCATGGGAATTTCAAAGGAAATAAATACCCTCTGTTTTTGCCCCTTGAGATTTACCAGTAATCAATTTAGAAAAAGATAAAAATCAAATGCACAAGAGGGAAATGTGATAGCTTCATGATTTTCTAAAGAGAGGTCCACTACCACCAGTTTCATGACGTTTTTTGAAGAGTGTAACAGGTTAACCTCCAGATACTGGTGCCACTGGGCATGAACAGTTATGCTAAGGCCCACCTCAGTAGGTGGGAAAACACACTGTGGCCCCAGCTCAGTGCACAGCCTATGAGCCAGCCCTGATGGCAGTAACAGTGCCCACTCCATGGCAGTCCATGCTCAAGCTACTGGGTGAGACTCCAGCTCCACTGAGGCCCACCTCAGCAGCAAGATGTGCTGCATGCTTGGCTCTGAGACAGGGTCTCCTGAGTGCACCACTATGTATGTCTGCCTCTGCTACAGAGCCCACTACCACCAGGAAATCATCCAACCTCAACATAGGTTGGGTTTGGTTTTGGGCATTCAGGCCAGGGTTTCAGTTTTGAATTCCACACTAAAATTGAAAATAGACCAAATCAGGTCCTACATTGCCATTCAAGGTTTGAGACCATTCAGGAGTTGTAAATGGACCAATCAGATATGAGCTCAACTGGCACCAATCAAATGGAGCTGGAATTGTAAATGGACCAATCATTTACAGATTTGAAAGAAAGGTACCCTAAAGGCAATATAAGAAAAGGTTTCAGAGGGCTGAACAGATTAATCCAGACTCAGATCTTCATAGAACTACCAGACCTTTGAGACCTCCAAGACCTCCAAGACCTTTGTATCTGAGCTCCACATCAAACTTCAGCCTCACACTGCTCCTGCCTCTAGCCCTGCCTCCAATATTGCCTACTGATTGGCATGTTGACCTATGCCCAGTGTCTCTAAAAGAGCTGTCTGACTTTGGCTTATGCCTGGCATCTTCTGGTCCTCTGACATTACCTCCAGGTGGTGTTGCCTTTCATGCCATCTAGCCTGGTATCTGGTGCTGCCCAGCCCAGCTTCTGCACAGGTGTTGCTGGTTGCTGAGGGGCCATCTTGGTAGCACTACCTGTGATCACCTCCAGCTGCCACCATGAGTTAGATCCTCATCAACCACCTATTGGCATGCCATCAGCTCTAGGCTCTCATTGAAAGGACAATGCCATCTTGCACAAACAACCTTTGCTTTGGACTACTGGACACTGCTGACACTTTCTGGGGTAGGAAAGTCAGCCATCTGTGGCTTTAGAAGCTCCTTTCCCCAAATTTCCTTGTTAATAAACCCCCTTGTTATACCATGAGCCTGAGCCATCTGTTGCAATTGTAAACTCATGTCTGAAGATCCACAAACCATGGTATCTCCCAAGCTTTGCACGGTTCAAGAGGTTCAGTTTTACACTCTTTAGAGTATGACATATAAACTTTCATTAATGTAGCAGGAGTCAAAACCTGATCCCAGAGGATCACCAATTAAAATCTAATGTAAAATAAGATATAGTAAGGAGATAGTCAAAGAAAGACATTTTTCACTTTTTTTTTCACTTTTTTAAAAAAAAGTTGGAGTAAGAATCTTTCAAGTATAGTTTTTTCAAAAAAATTTAACATTAGGTTAGAAGATCGGAGTTTTACTAAATCTAACAGAAAAAAATGCTTTCAAATATGGTAGTGAAATCTCTAAGTTTAAAGGCAAAGAATCCATAAATTACAATGTTTAAAGTTAGAAATAATTCACTTATAATATGAATTAGTGCATATATAATGTAACATAAACAATAAATCTCTAAAATGTTATAAAATTCTAAGTAACAAGCAGATAAGGGCAATTCTAAGATAATTTTGCTTCCCAATGTCCAATTCTTTAATTTGTCATAGCTCAAAGCCAAGATAATTATTTTTAAACTCCAACATGGAAGAATTAAGCCTTTAGAAGAACCCTTCATTCTGCTATCAATCAAAGTTAACAATGAAAGGTAAAGGAAAAGTAATGATTAATCTTGAAAAATCTATATATTTTAT